TCCCAGCCAAGGAGGCCTGGCCGTGGGCACTGTGGTAAGGCATGAGAATTCGCACATTTTTTTCACATTCTGCTGAGAATAAACCTTCAGCATAACAGGAAGGTGAGGCAGGACCAGGGCCAGGAGGCAGGTTTCTGTTCTCACCTGAGAACATCCACAGTTCTTGGGTCTCACTGATGCCGACTGCCGAGGTCCCGTCTAAACAGTCGTTGCTGAAATTCACGGGCTGGCCTTCTCCCCTTTGGGTTTAAAGGGCTGCTCCTCTGTTATCTGCTCAAGATCTCCACTGTCTCTGCCAACTCTGAGTCACTCTACAGGTGTCAGACATTCAAGCTCAACCTGATGTTTGGGGTTCACCCTGCACACACCCGCCCCCGCCCATGGCCTCAGACCAGCGGGAGCTCTATTCTGCCGTCTTTCGTCAGTGAGGTGGAGTAGGGGGTGCCACCTGCCGCTGCCCATGTCCAGTCTGTTCTGTGGACAGAGTTCTGGGAACAGAATGAACCCAGCATCTCCAGTAGGAGCTCTGCCCAGGGCTCCTTGGAAGCCAGTTTACGCCTCCTGCCTAGAGAATCTCACACCTGTTTCAGATCACTAACTACTTACCAGAAACTTTCAAAGAAAAACAAAACAGCTTTGTAGCACATACTGCCAGGAAATTCCTTCTGATGACTAAGGTGAGCCCTTTGTGTTATTGCTAAAGCTTGTTTTATATTGGTAACATTTGCTAGAGAAGGTGCATCAGATACAATAACCTTCCATAGAACACTTTTTAATTTTATTTTTAATTTTTATTAAAATGTTTCTTACTCATGCACCTTGAAAGGAACTGTGGGCTGCGAGGCTGTGATGGGCACAGGGGTGGGTCTCGGCCCATCCTCCGCACCCCCACCCGGCCCCTCCCGCTATGGCCCCCTGTCCCCTGTCTGCAGACAGCGCTGCTCCCACAACCACCTCTCCCACTTGCTGACAGCATGGAGCAATTGGGGCTGGCGCCAGCAGTGGGTATGAGTGGGGCCTGCACCGTCAGCGGGTGCGAGCGGCAGCTGCTACCCTGATCGCCCTTCAGGAGCAGGGGGAGATGGAAAAGCCCTCAGGGCCAATCAGGGGCAGCAGCTGCCACTCGCACCCGGTGGCAGCACTGTGATTGGGACCAGGCGCCAGCAGCGGGTACGAGCAAGGCCAGCACCAGCAGGAGGTGCAAGTGCTGGGTGGGACCATGGCATGCAGGAGCAAAGAATTTTCAGTAACCACCAGAGGCTCACCCCCATGACACTGACTGGCGCCCCTCCTTGGTCTGGCGCTCCTGCTCACCTGCTCCACCATCCCGTAGCAGCCAATGCCCGCCATGTTCTGCGCGCACACCCCCTGGTGGTCAGTGGACATCATAGCGACCAGTTGTTTGGTTGTTCGGTTGTTCTGCTGTTCGATCTATTTGCATATTAGGGTTTTATATAGAGAGATTACAGTTGACATTCAACATTATTTTATATTACTTTCAGGTGTACAGCAGAGTGGTTAGGCAATTATTCCACTTACAAGATGGTCCCCCAATAATTCAAGTATCCCTGTTACATACATAGTTATCACAATGTTAGTACTCTATTCCCTACATTGGAATGTACATCTCTATGAATGTTCTGTAACTACCAATTTGTACTTCTTAATCCCTCCTCCTTTCACCCAGCACCTCTGGCAACCATCAGTTTGTTCTCTGCATCTACTAGTTAGTTTGTTTTATTTGGTTGTTTATTCTATTCTTTAGATTCCACATATAATGAAATCATATGGTACTTGTCTTTCTCTGGCTGACTTATTTCACTTAGCATAATACCCTCTACGTCCATCCATGTTGTCACAAATGATAAGGTTTCATTTTTTTATGACCAAGTAGTATTCCATTATATATATATCTCAAAATGTCTTTATCCAGTCATCTGTTGATATACACTTAAGTTGCTCCCATATCTTGGTTATTGTAAATAACACTGCAGTGAGCATGGGGCACATATATTTTTTCAAATTAATGTTTTGGATTTCTTTGGACATATACCCAGTCATAAGGCATTTCCATGTTTTATGTTTTAGGAACCTCCATACTGTTTCCCACAGTGGCCTCACCAGTCTGTATTTCCACCAACAGTGCTTGAGGGCTCCCTTTTCTCCACATCTCACCACCACTTGTTTGTTGATTTATTGATGATAGTCATCTGGCAGGTGTGAGGTGATATCTCAGTGGCGTCTTAATTTGCATCTCTCTGGTGATTAGTGACTTTGAGCATTTTTTCCTATGTCTACAGGCCATATTATGTCCTCTTTGGAGAAGTGTCTATTTAGGTCTTCTGCCCATATTTTAATTGGATTTTCAGGAGAGGGTGTTAAGTTCTATATGAATCTTGGTTATTGATCCCTTATCTGATGTATCACTGGCAGATATCTTATTTTATTCACTAGGTTGTCTTTTCATTTCATTGATGGTTTCCTTTGCTGTGCAAAAACGTTTTAGGTAGATGCAGTGCCATTAGTTCATTTTCTTTTGTTTCCCTCACTCTAAGAGATATTTCAGAAAAAAATATTGCTAAGAGAAATGTCAGAGGGTTTTTTAAAAATATATTTCTTTATTGATTTCAGATAGAAAAGAATTATTTTAAAAAATACGTTTTTACTGATTTTAGAGCTAGAGGAAGAGAGAGAATCATTGATCAGCTGCCTCCTGCACACCCCCTATTGGGGATTGAGCCTGCAACCCAGGCATGTGCCCTTGGCCGGAATCAAACCTGGGACCCTCCAGTCCACAGGCTGATGCTCTATCCACTGAGCCAAGCCAGCTAGGGTGAAATGTCAGAGTTTATTGCCTATGTTTTCTTCTAAGGGTTTTATGGTTTTGGGTCTTTTAAGTCTTTAATCCATATTGAGTTTGTTCTTGTATATCGTGTAAGAAGGTGGTCTAATTTCATTTTCTGCATGTATCTGTTCGATTTCCCTAACACTGTTTACTGAATAGATTGTCTTTAACCCCATTATATAGTCTTGCCTTTTTTTGTGTGTAAGATTTTAATTGTCAAGGTAGGTGTGGATTTATTTCTGGCTCTCTCTTCTGTTCCATTGATGTGTCTGTTTTTATGCCTGTACCACACTATTCTGAATACTAGAGCTTATAGTATAGTTTGATATCAGGTCGTGTGATCCTTCCAACTTTGTTCTTCTTTCTTGAGATTGCTATGGCTCTTTAGGGTCTTTGTGGTTCCATATAAATTTTTGGATTTTTTGTTCTACTGTGAAAAACGCTATTGGTATTTTTACGGATTGCATTGAATCTGCATATTGCTTTGGGTAGTATAGATATTTTACTGATATTAATTCTTCCTATCCATAAACACAGGATATGTTTCCACTTACTTGTATCTTCTTCAATTTATTTTTTAGTGTCTTACAGTTTTCTGAGTGCATGTCTTTTGCCTCCTTGGTTACATTTATTCCTAGGTTGTTGTGGGTGTTTTTTGAGGCAATTGAAAATGGGATGTTTTCTTAGTATCTCTTTCTGATATTTCATCATTGGTGTATAAAATACAACCAATTTCTGAATATTTATTTTGTATCCCACTAATTAATAAATTCATTTATCAGTTCTATTGGATTTTTGGTGGAATCTTTAGGGTTCTCTATACAAAGTATCATGTCATCTGCAAATAATGACAGTTTTGCTTCTTCCTTTCCAATTTGGATGCTTTTTATTTGTGTTTCTTATCTGGTTGCTATGGCTAGCACTTCTAAGATTCAGTTTAATATGAGTGGTGAAAGTGGACATTCCTGTCTTGTTCCCAATCTTAAGGAAACCACTTTAAGCTTTTCCCTATTGAGTATGATGTAGTTGTAGGTTTGTCATACATGGCCTTTGTTATGTTAAGGTATGTTTCCTCTATTCCCACTTTGCTGAGAGTTTTTATTATAACTAGAGGCCCAGTGCACGAAATTGTGCAATCCTTGGGGGGATCGGGCCTAAGCTGGCAGTCGGACATTCCTCTTGCAGTCCAGGGACCCTTTTATTATACAGACTAGAGGCCCAGTGCACGAAATTCGTGCAGGGTAGGGTCCCTAGCAGCTGCCGGCTGCCGGCTGGGCCTTCCTTTGGTCTGCGCCGCCCTCTGGTGGTCAGCGCACATCATAGCGAGTGATCGAACTCCAGGTCTCCCAGTCGAACTCACTTTGCATATTAGGCTTTTATATCTATAGATAGATGGGTGCTGAATTTTCTGCATCTATTGATATGATTGTATGATTTTTATTCTTTCTTCTGTTTACGTGGTATATCAGATTAATTAATTTGCAGATATTGTACCAACCTTTCACCCAGGAATAAATCCACTTGATCATGATATGTGATCTCTTTAATGTATTGCTGAGTTCAGCTTGCTAATATTTTTTTGAGAATTTTTGCAGCTGTGTTCATCAGGGTATTGGCCTATAATTTTCTACGTTTGTAATGTCTTTGTCATGTTTTCACTCAGAATAATGCTGGCCTCATAATGAGCCTAAAACCAGCCTGGAGGCTTCGCTCCTCTTGAGTTTCTTTGAGTAGTTCCAGAGGAGGGGTGTTATTCCCATAAGACTTTCCAGACGTGTTTTTTCACAAAGAAGAACTTGGATTCCCATAAACTTTTATCACTGCCTTATCACCCAAACCCTTCATTGTCTGTCTCAGTTATAGTTTTGAACCCCCTCCAAAATTTGTTTTTTGAGTCACGGAGACCATGACTTAATTAGACCTTTCATTTCCAGAGAATTCTCCTAGTGCTTAAAGAAAAGTACATTTCAGTAAGGTATATTTCACCAGGGGAAGGGCATAGAAAAAAATTGGGTCTTTTACATAAATAGCACATTGTACCACAAATGAGTTTTCCTTTTCTCAGTTGTTTTTGAAACAATAGGTGTTTTTGATTAATTTCATTCCTAGTAGATTCTAACTTCTAAGAGACTGATTTGCATTCTTCTGTGGGTACATGGCTGCTGGATCCAAAAAAGGCAAGAGGTATGTTCTCGGATGGCCTAGTAAACAGTAAAGGAAATGGCTGGCAACAGGCCAGCACGAAGCACCTTACCCAGGTGTGGGCATGGGGCGGAGGGAGGAGGGGAACTTGTTTTCCAGTCTTTTCCTCAGCAGCTTCTGTCCTGAGAAATTCTGAGGGGCCCAGAGCACTGGCCTTGCTTCTTCACAACTTTTTTACTGAAAGGAGGCGTGTCTTCTAGGAGCTGTTCTTAGCTGTGCCCGTTTCTTCACCCTGTTCACTTGGTATCTGTGCTCAGGTTTTCATGCAGGAAAGGCAGGCATTCCGCTCGCCTTTGGCCTGTGGAGCAGAGCAGGAGCCTGGCCTGCACTTGGCGTCCCCTTTGCCAGGCTGCCTTCAGCAAGTCGCTGTCCTTCCTGCCCCAGCTCCCCTGTGTGGAGGGAAGAACTCAGGTCTCAGATGATCTCTGAGGTCCATGCAATCGGATCTCCCATGATTCTCACAGCACCAGCTCTTCTCATTGCTCCATAGAGGGGCCACGAAAAGGAAAGAGGAGTTGTGTTCAGCAGCCAATGGGGAAAAGGGGACATTCCGTCCCCTCGCTCCTCTCTCCCAAGGACCCGGAATCCGTGTCGGGTAAAGGATGGGAGTGAGTGTTCATTGGCATCTCCCATGCCAGGTACCGGTCAAGCACTTGACTAAAGAGTCGATGCACTGGTGTCCTTTGCTACCACAGCTCCGTGCGAACCCCCATCCCTCCCAGCGGGATCCGTCCGTGTTCTTCAGGTCTCACTTAAGGTGTCACCTCCTCTCTGAAGCCTTCCCTGCCCCCTGACTGTTCCGCCTGGGTTGGTCTCCCTGTCCTATGTTATGTTCCTCTACTTTCCTTCACTGCCCCGACCACAGTAGTAATTAATAATTATCTGTACAGATGAATGTTTTCATGCCTGCTCAGCTGAGTTCTCCATGAGGGCAGGAGCCACATAAGTGTTGTGTTTCGCTGTATTCCTAGAGCCTAGAACAGTGTTGATAAGATAACAGCAATTCACTAAGGATTTCTTGAATGGGCGTTGTAAGCATGCGTGCACGAATGGGTGGGTGAATAGCAGAGCTGGGCACAAACCCAGAACTCTCGGCTCTTGGAGACCAGACGGAAACTTTAGAAGCGTCTACTGTGCTGTGTGCTGGCGCGCAAGGGCCTTGCTCCACAGCCGTCCTCCTCTCTCCAGCAGTGGGGGGTCAGCAGTGCTGCTCTGGACACTGGAGCCCAAAGATGTCTGTGAACTGGTTGGAGATCACGGGTCCACCTGAGGCTGGTGGTGGTCACGCGAGAGGTGGGCAGAAGGAGGCATTGAATTAAACCAAATAACTGTCCTTGGTGGGCATTTGGCACACTTCCTCGTACGCTCTGCCAAGGGCTGCGAATAAACAACATTCTGCAAGGGATCTAGGGCAGTGAGAGTGAGTGCATGAGAATGAGGGAGGAAAACCCACGACATGACAACCTTCAGGGAAGCAGAACTAAAACTCCAGTGTGGAGCCTGCTGACCACCCACCCGGCTCAGGCTGCCTGCAGGCCGTGCTGGCCACGCGGAGGTCAGCGCCCATGCGGTGTCCCAGCGCCTGGCTGTGGCCCTTGGGGAGCCCGCTGCCGGTGTCTGCCCACCTCGGAGAGGCTTTAGTCCCTTACTTCACATCACCTCCTGCCACCGCAATGAGCAGCTGACAGGAGGCTAAAAACACTAACAACAGAAATTTGATTTCTTCTTCTAGACAAAAAGCTTTGGCGTCCACTGGAGGAAGAAGCGTTCAAGCCGCGTGTGACTGGTTGGTATAAAATAACTAAATGAGGAAATGACACTTGATCAGCTCTAAATGTATGCGGATGACAAGGTTGTGAACCTGGGGGGTGGGGCGAGGGAGACCCTGTGACTGGACCGTTCATCCCACCAATTGCCTCCTCCCGCTGCCCTGGGCGTGCTTCTCCTTAGCGGTGCTTCCAAGAGAGCCTGTCCCACAGCTGCCACCCTCCAGCCACCACAGATGTAAGAAGCTGTGTGCAGGCTGCGCAAGTCAATTGAGGGAAAAACCTACCCACCTTTCAGGAAGTCGCTGCCCAGGGCAGAGCCCAGGGCGGCTCCGAGCGTCCCTTGTCTTTGGGAGGCACCGGTTTAACGGCTGTGGGGTTGGGAAAGGGTTGGGGTTCACCTGCGAATGCTGCCTGGAGAGGGCTTCAGGTTTCCGAGGGGCCGTGGTGAACAGGCACCCACAGGCGAGGCTGTGAAGTGTGAGCTGCAAGGGGTGAACCCTTAGCGCAGAGGGAAAGCCCTTCCCACCCGCGGAGTGTCTGGTCCCCTCCCCTGCCCCCCGCCATTCTCCAGCAAGGATGCCCGCTCTCTCCGCAGGCTCTTCTCCCACGTGGGCGACCCCTTCCTGGATGACCCGCTGCCCCGGGAGTACGTACTGTACCTGCGCCCCACGGGCCCCTTGGCCCAGAAGCTCTCCGACTTCTGGCAGCAGTCGAAGCAGATCTGCGGGAAGAACAAGGCGCACAACATCTTCCCCCACATCACCCTCTGCCAGTTCTTCATGGTGAGCGGCAGCCCCAGCCCTGCCGGGACCTGGAGTCACAGGCGTAAGAGCTGTGTGATCCAGGTCTGGGCCATTGGGCGTGTGCAGTTCCCCTCCTCACAGACGGGGTGTGCGTGTGCGTGCATGTGTGTGTGTGCGTGCATGTGTGTGTGCGCGTGTATGTGCGTGTGCGTGCATGCTTGTGTGCGTGTGCGTGTGTGCGTGCGCACATGTGCGTGCATGTGTGTGCATGCGTGTACGTGTGTGTGTGGTGGTGTCACAGCCTCAGCGGGGCGGAAGGTGACTGAGGACCGCGGAGCTGAGCTGCCCTGGCCCCCGAGTGCAGCCCCCTCTTCCCTTCCAGTGCGAGGACAGCAAAGCAGATGCCCTGGGGGAGGCCCTGCAGGCCACCGTCAGCCGCTGGAGGGGCAAGTTCTCGGTGCCGCTGCCCCTGGAGCTCTACACCTCCTCCAACTTCATCGGGCTCTTCGTGGAGGAGGCCAGCGCCGATGTCCTCAAGAAGTTCGCCGCCGACTTCGCTGCTGAGGCTGCATCCAAAACCGGTGAGCCCTGCTGGCCAGGCGGGCGCCCTCAGAGTGGGAGAGACGGGGATGCTGTGACAAGTGGGATGGGGTGGGGAGGTGGCTGCGGGAAGGGCCGAGCAGGACAGGAGCACACCCCCTCCCGGGAGCACCCACACCATGTGCTGTTCTGCTAACTCTCCCGAGAGGATGCCCAGTGCTACTCCCCGACACCAAGCGGAAGGAACAGACACCTGCTCTCCAAGGAGCCACCTCAGCGTTAGGAACCTTCCTCCCTCCCCCCACCCCCTCCCACACAGGCACCACCTGGGCAGTCAGTCCAGGCCCAGGGAGCACAGCACAGAGGAGAGTGGAGCCTCTCAGAGTCAAGAACAGCCATCTCCACTGAGCCCCACCCTCGACCTAGGAATCCATTAGGCAGCCCCTAGGCCTCAAAAGCCGTCCAACGGTCCCCCTTCCACATCTCTCCTGCTCTCTCATGGCAGCTCTTAGCTTAAAGCTGCTGCAATTTCCCACCAAAGAAGTTAGCTGAAAGGGATGCTGAGGACGCATGGTGACAGGCGACAGGCATGGCGGCGGGGGAGGGGGGCTCCTCTCTGACCACAGGTGCAGACGGGCTCCCTGAGCTGCAGGACAGACAGACAGTGAGGTGAGGCAGTGTCTGGGCGCCCAGACAGCGGAGTCCAACGGTCTGAGGGACAGTGGACTGGCCCCCTGTTTAAACAGTTTGAGGACCCCTGGCGGAGTCAGTCGGCAGGGGCTCAGTGGGAAGCTGCAGTGTGCTCCCCGCCACGAATGTGACAGTCTGACGTGGCTCCTCCTGGCAGAGCCCGGAGCCTGGCTGAGCACAGGGGCTGGCAGAGCCAAGAAGAGAGGCCATCCCTGGAGGGTGGCTCCCCGCGCAGCAGGAACGAGCTCACAGGGCGATGATCCCTGCAGGGCGGGCGCCCCAGCCCCAGCAGAGAGGGCCACGGAGGCCATCCGTCCATGGAGGCCACCCGCCTGTGGAGGCCAACAGCCCACGGAGGGCTGAGCGCACAGCTGGCCGGAGGGATGGGTGCAGGGCCAGAGGGGTCCAAGCTGCCTGCACCACCTCGTGCGGAGGGCAGGGCTGGGCCACCTGGGGTGGAGGCTGTGTCTTCCCAGCCCAGCTGGGTCTGTGCTGGCACCTCTTCACTGGAAAGGCCTGAGCAGGGCTGGGCTCCACAGTGTCCGGAGGGCCCCGCCCCCGAGCTGGGAGGGCTCCCTGGGGTCCAGCCTGGAATCCCTCTCCCAGGTGGGGCCTGCAGTCGCGCCCCCCGCCCCCCAAACCCCCTGCTTCTAGACGAGTGTCTGCTTCCTGACTTGGGGCGCCTGTCCTGTCACAGGGTCTGAACATTCCAGAGAAATGGCCAGTAGAGAGGACAGTGGTGTCCTATGTGCATCCTCCTTTCTTAGGGAAATGGCTCCTGTTCACCCCACAGCACCATGGAAATCCCCACAGAAACCAAACTCATGTTGTGGCCACAAAACCCAGGAGCAAAGCCCTCTTGCCAGGTCCTGGCCTGCTTTCCTGGCGGGAGGGGGAGACGCCAGGAAAGCAGTTTCTGGGCCCTCGCGCCGCCCCCTGCTGGCGGTTTGCAGAACTGCGTACCCTGCTGTGTAGCTGGCCTCAGGGCTTCGCCTTGGTGTTCTAGAGTTTGGGGGACCCCGGATTCCTTCAGCAGGTAGATTTAGGGTTGCCCCACAGGGAGATCCATTCATGTGTCTTTGTTCATTTAACAAGGACTGACACCTGGCATGTGCTGAGTAAGTGTGAACAAGACACAGCCCTGGCCTCCCGGGCTCACAACAAAGAGAAGCAGCGTAGTATCACAGAGAACGCGCTCAAAACCCAAGGACCCAGCTCCCGCCGCCATCTCTGTGTGGTCTGAGCGAGCCTCTTAGTTTCTCAACTCCCTAAGCAGCAGTAGCCAGCCTTTCGGGTCTCACGGACCACCAGCCCCAACCGCTGCCCTAAACCCCTCTGGTCGCGGCTTCTTCAGAGTCTCGTATGGACAGGAGCTGCGCTGCCCATTGAGAGAGACACAAACGAGGAAGAAGAGGCGGCGGCTGGCTTTGCTTGCCTCTGGGGTGTCTTAGAGGAGCAGTCTCTTTGCGTTAAGCAGCCGGGGTTCCAACCAGGGCACGTTTGCCCCACGGGACGGCTGGCAACGCCTGAGTGTTTCCGGTGGTCACACCCGGTGGTCACACCCGGTGGTCACACCCGGTGGTCACCCGGTGGTCACACTATGGGTGCTGCTGTGGCCTCCAGGAGGCGGGGCCTCTCTGCCCAGGGCAGCGCCCAAACAGAGTTATTTCACCCAAATGCTGTTGAGAATCCCTGTTTTAAACTTTGAAAATATTAGTTTTTCTTCATTTCTCCATCAGAGCCACTCAGAAGCTAAGAGACTTGATTTCACCAAAACAAAGGCAACATAGCTGTGAGACATTTGCACATAGCACATAATGACTCTTGCTCTTTATTTCTGCATGCATTAGTTCCTCCCCTTAGGGCTGTTTCCTCAGCTGAGTGCTGGGGCTGCTCCTGCCGTGAAGGGAGCAACCAGGAGGATTGCTCTTTCCTCTCAGGCTGCGGGTCTGGGTCTGTGCCCCACACGGCTGCAGTCTGACAGCAGCTCCCTGGGCGTGGGAAGCAGGATTCTGGGCTCTCCCTCGGCCCCACCGCTGCTAGCAGTGTGAGCCTAACAGCACCTGCTCCCCCTTTTCCAGAAGTGCACGTGGAGCCTCATAAGAAGCAGCTGCACGTGACCCTGGCTTACCACTTCCAGGCCAACCACCTGCCCACCCTGGAGAAGCTGGCCCAGAGCATCGATGTCAAGCTGGGGTGCGACTGGCTGGCAGCCATATTCTCTCGGGACATCCGCTTCGCTAACCATGAGGTAATGCTTCCCTGTGGCTCCTTATACGAGGGGCGAGGAAGGGAGCAGGCAAAGCCAGGAGCCTTGCTGCTCACTGGGGCAGGTGGCAGCGCGCAGGGGGGCGTCGACCACCCGGGCGCCACTATTTGGGGAATCTGCACTGCGCTCAGACCCGGCCGTCTCTGAAGAGTAACACTGCCCTTATCCCTGAAGGAGAAGCTGAGGCACAGAGGTTAGGTCCAAAGCTGAATAATTTAGGGCCAGAGCTGAAACCAGAATTCAGGGATTTCGACAATGAAGACGCGCAATCCATCCAAAAACAGACCACATGGTTTGATGAAACAGTGGCCATCCAGTTTAACTCCATTTATTAACAGTACTTACATATGTTTCCTAGTTTTTTTTTTTTAACAGCAGCAGAACTGACTTCTTAAAGTTTATATAGTCTTTTAACATTTCTTTTAGATTTTGTAAAATATGAAAAATTGTTAGAACCTCAGGGTCTAGATCAGACAACCTCATCATGGATTTGGAGTGTTGGGAACAGCGACCCAGACACCGCCAGGGCCGGGGCCGGGCCAGGGCGCAGGGCGGTAGTGCCAGATCGCAGCTCCCACCAGCGGCTGCCCGGAGCCTTTCCGGCCGGCTCTGTGAAGACGCTGCAAGGAGCCTGGGCTGGGCCCGACTCGCGACTCTGGTGTCTCCTGAGCAGCGGCCTCCCCTGCACAGGGCAGTGCCGGGTGGCGGGCGGCCACCTGCTTTCGGAGAAGCCGCCTTGGAGAGCAGGGAGGCGACGGCATCTTCCAAGGGCACCTCCAGTCAGCACTGTCCTCGGGCGCCTGCCTGACCCACATAGGGCTCGGTTGGCACTTAGGGAAGAGACGCTCAAATGAATTATTTTCTAAAAATAACGTGGCCTCTTTGTCTCTTATTTGTTAAAGCTCATTTGTCCTGTCCCTGCCGCGGGGCTCCCCTCTGGGGCCGTGGCACCCACTGAGCCCCCTGCACCTGTTCACGCAGGACCCGGCCGCCCGATGGGCAAGGCGGGGCCTCACTGCCCTCTCTCCTCCAGACCTTGCAGGTGATCTACCCCTACACCCCCCAGAATGACGACGAGCTGGAGCTGGTCCCGGGGGACTTCATCTTCATGTCTCCCGTGGAGCAGGCCAGCACCAGCGAGGGCTGGGTCTACGGCACCTCCCTGACCACCGGTGGCTCCGGGCTCCTGCCCGAGAACTACATCACCAAGGCCGACGAGTGCAGCACCTGGGTGTTCCACAGGTGAGCCGCCGAGGCCTGTGCCCGCAGCCTTCCGGGAGGGGGGCCTGGGCGTGACCTGGACACACAGGGCAGCAACCACTGTAGACGGAGGCCCGGGAAGAAAGCCTGCTGGCTCCAGGCTCCCAGGGAAGAGCTGCCGTGGGGATGGGAGAGCTGAAAACTGGGGTGGCTGGTGGGTCCTCCTGGGCTTAACCTCAGGCCCGGCGCTTGGGAAGATGCGCTGGGTGTGAGCTCAGCTCCCCTCCCCGCTCTCAGCAGAAGGCACTGCCTGTGTTCTTGCTGGAACTGACACCCCCACTGCTGGCGGGAGCCCAGGCCTCATCCCAGAGGGGAAAGGGGCGGGCGTGCTCCTGGAACTGCCTGCAGGAGGGGCTCTCAGGCCTCCAGCAGCTAAGGAAGCAGTGAGGGGGCAGGGCAAGGGGGGCCGAGGTTCCACCCACACATGGTGGGCCCTACAGGCTTGAGGAATCGGAGAGTGAAACTGGATTTTCTTTAGCTCTGAGATGTTGGGAGGGCTCGGTTTAAAACAAAAGAGAATAACTGTCCATTAGACTGTGTGAACCGCCCAAGATTTCCTTGGTCTACAGTTGCTAAAATTTTACCAAAATACGTCTCCTTTGGCCACACATCACACTTACTGAGGCAGCTTTGTTACGCGGGACCCACCTCACACTGTGAGTCCCTATCTATGCAGAGTGTTAAACCTCCCCTGGCGTCCAGGACCTGCGCAGGCTGAAACACTGCTCTTCTGGCGTGAGCGTGGGTGACCTTTTGTATAGAGGGTGAGCCTGTTTACAGTTGAAAGGGGCGCCTTGGAGCGTGAAAAGGTGCTAAGTTACTAAAATCAGAAAGGTGTTTTGTTTTGTTTTGTTTAATCCTTACCTGACGATATTTTTCCATTGTTTTCTAGAGAGAGTGGAAAGGAGGGGGAGAGACAGAGAGAGAGAAACATCAATGTGGGAGAGACACATCAATTAGTTGCCTCATGCAAGCTCCCCAGTCAGAGCCAGGAATTGAGCCTGCAGCCCAGATAACATGCCCTTGATTGGAATCGAACCTGGGACTTCAGTCCGCAGGCCGACGCTCTACCCACTGAGCCAAACCTATGGCCATAGACTTTTTAGAAAGAATTTTTACTAACTACCAGTTAGCTTTATTATATTGTTAACTATAATAAGTTTTTTTAAGTTAAAATTCTAAGAATAATACTGTGTTAAAAATACACAATCCAGAGCGGATGTTACACGGCACAGATTGCTGGGTCAGCAGGGAGAAACCAGGACTGCGCAGGGCTGACTGGGCCTGTGGCTGCCCTCGTTCTAAAGAAGCGAGAAATCTAACACTTACATGTTCTCCCTTGACACTGCCCAGGATGCTGACGGAGATGGTCACCAGATTTGCCTCACGGCCATGCTTAAATCGCAGTGTTTATTAAACAAGGCTTTTTGGAGGTCTTACTAATCCAATCATTTCAACCTGGCCTGCGTCGCTGCCTCCGTTTAGTGAGGCCTCTTTGGGCTCCTGCCGTTCTGGTGTCACCCAGGAAGGGGGCTCCACTCGAGGCCCGGCATCTGGCCGGAAATGCCCTGTGGGTGACGATCTTGTTGGAGGTGTTTCTGAGAGGAAGGAGGGGCTTGGGGACAGGGAGGTAGAAGGGGGCGGTGGTAGGAGAGGGGGAAGTGGCCATGAGGTTTTCTCAACTGTGAGAAGCCACAGGCAAAGTGGGGGTGACAGTAGAAATGCTCCCTGGAATGTGTGGGTTGGGG